AAACTGTGCTTTCTAGAGGGGACACAGTTCACAGTCTCCACTTTCCTTCCGGCTTCTCACCAGGCAGTACTATTGATGTCTGTAAGACTTCCCAGCATGGAGATACTGGGCACGGACAGGCAGGAGAACTTGCAGGTATCAGAAGTTCATGTATCAAATCTATTTATCTACATGTGCCCATTACGCCTGTTACATTAACTGTGACCATGGCTATGCCTTCTTGGTTTAACATTATTGGGCTCTCACCAGATTCAAAGGAGGGTGAACCTGGAGTTAGCAGAAAATGTAAAAGCTTTGATAGAGCAGGAGTGAAGAATGGCATTCCTTTTACCATTATTATTTGGGGAGGATTTTCTCAGGGCAGAGCTTTATTTTTATGTACTGCTGGACCACACAGCAGAAGTTGGAAGCTATCCCTGTACTCACTGACTTCCCCTGTGGGCTTTCATTCCATGGAGTCCTATCAAAGGCTAACAGATATTTTTATTCTTGTGCCATGGAGATTACCACTCTTTGGTTTCCATAATGGTTGGTTCTCTTGCTGTTGGAAGGTAAAAAATTTGGTAAATCTAACCAATGTAACCTTAAAAACCAATGAAGGCATGATGCATGGTTCATGTCACCAGGAAATGATGGATATCAAGCAGTTCATTGATAAATTTTGTCAACCTTAAAAACAAAATAGTTATTTAACCAGTAAAAAAAAAAATTTATTTAGGAGTAGCAGAGGAATTGCAATTTGGGACTGCAAATTAGGGCAAACCATAAGGCAAGTCCCAAGAAGGAAGGAAAAAGAGTATCCCTATATAGAGAAAAGAAGGAAATTGGGAGGGATTGCTTTGAACAAAAGTTCACCTGAGCAGAGGGAGAATTTGAGGTTGCGAGGGCGTCTCATTGGCTAAGGTCATGTGGTTTCTCACTGGCTGGGCTGTTGCTGGGCGAGACAATCTTCTGCCTTCCCGCTGAGGTATGCCAGGTAAGCTGCTGGGAGTGCCACTGAGTGAGAACTCTCCCTTCATTGTCTCCAGACTCCATTTTAACTCTGTAAAAGGTACACCTGCATCACTTCAGCAACGTATAAACCTTTTCATGTGCCCCACCTTGAAACTGCTAATGTTTGTAGTGTTAAAATGTTTTTGTAAATACACACCAATGCTACAAACCAACTGTCTCCTCATGGGAAATATATCTTTTTAAGTTTCTATACAAGTACTGTATAACATGATCCAGAATATACTAGTGTTAAAGTAAGTGAAACAGCTGGCATCTTTTTCAAATGGACTTCCACAAGATAAAATATTACAACCAAATTATGTCATTGGAAAATTAATAACATACTTAATGAAAATTTGTTCAGGTATAAATGAGCAGTTAAGAAATAAATGATCTCTACATGCTGTGACTTAGTGTATGGATTTATTCCAGAATCAGTCACCATGCAGTGTCTGTATGTACATACAAATATGTGTTTTTGTGATTGTAATGATTGTAGTGCATAGTAAGAATGAGGTGATATTACATTATCTCTAATGGGAATAATGCTTTTAATTGTTAAAGAGTAAGACCACTTTCCTCAGGAAAAAAAAAAGAAAACCAAACAGCTCTACAGGGCTCCAGACATTCTGGGGCTTTTGCACAAAATTTTGCTTAAAGAATAATATAAGGGTACACCTTTTTAAAACATTCTAATGAAATGACTCCTACAGCCATTTCACTTACAATACTCAGATACCAATAACTTAGAGCCTGGTACATCAGGGACTCCTTAGAGCCAGCTATAAAGCCTAGTGAAGGAAACCGGGGTAGGTCACCCCAAAATAAATATTTTGGGGAAGAGGAATCAGGAAACAAAGCTTACTATTAGTTTCTTCCCATATATTTACCTTTCTAGTTTGCTGCCTTTGAAAGCCTAAAACTGCTTTCCTTCGTGCTGTCATTTCTCTATAAATGTATTGTTCTTTGCTGAAGATCCCATATAGACCATAGTTTAAAGCTGCTGCTTTGAGTTATTCTTTGCTTTTGGTTTCTTGGGTGTGATGTGCACTGCAAACATTAATAAACTTTTTTTGTTGATGTCCTCTTGTTAAAGAGTGCCACCTGAGAACATAAGTCATATCCTCACTGCAGAATGCAGGCAAAAAGTCAACTCTTTCCTTGGTTGGCAATTACCCTGGGGCTGGCCAAGGAAGCAATTGCCTACACTAAATTCTCAAATTTTGGGGTCAGCTCTCCTGGTGGACTTTTTCCTAATAGGCTGAACACTGGAATTCTCAAAACCTCAAAAGTTTGAAGGTCTTCCCTTCATGCAGAAACACATCAAGAACCAGGCATCTTGAGGTATTCAACTTAAAAATCACTTATTTAACATAGCAGTAACACGCTTTCTGTATGAATAAGGATCATTTACTTGATATCCTATAGCCACATCTTTCTATCAGACTATCTTTTTCCTCATGAAAGTAAAACATTTCCAATGCCCATCTTGAAACTTAACATTCATGGTGTTGAAATGTTTTGCAAATATACACCAATGATGTAGACTAATCCTTCCTTGTGGGAGCTTTATGTTCTTTTATGTTTTCCAAGAAAGTAAAACACTTGAAATGCTGTATGTGCTATATTTCCTGAAATTTTTTAGTACTTAATCTCAATGATAATAGATCAGAAAACTATAATCCTATTTTAATGACTAGAGTTCATTGTGCATCAAATTGGGCAAGAAAATTTTATTTTGACTGACAGTATTCTCACCTGTGTAACAGAAACTTACAGGTTCTAATCCCTTAGTTTGTGAATCCCACCCATTCTTAACATTACCAATTATGAGCTGACTGCACAACTGTAGTTTCATAAAAGGAAAATTAAAACAAGTTTTTTTTTCTCTTTCCCAAAATTTTGGGTTTGTTTTGCTTTTACATTAAAACCTAACCTTACAAACAAGTAAAAAGGACTGAAATTTGATGTTCTGGATAGCATGTGCATGGAAAAAGAGCTTCTCAGTTCTCTTAGAACTGCACGTGAATATACAAAGTGGCTCCCCCATTTAGGGCCCATACTGTTAGCATTCAAGAAGACTGGATTTCCCTTCATAAATTCACATCTCCTGTATGTTTACTTCTCTTTACCTGCACTGACAGGATCTTGTAATTCCTTTGTAGTGATGGTGTGGGGGAAGAGCCCGCATACTTTTTGAGCTTCTCCCTATATTTATGTCAGCTTTCCTATCTGTACATCATACATCATAGAAACAGGAATAGACAGGTAACATAGACAGGTAACTTCTATGCAAGGGGCATTGTAATAAGGTTCTGGTGTACTGACATTTTTGTTTCTTCAGCATCTTATGTTGCTTACTAGGCCTGTAATTAAACTGTTTCTGTTTCTGATAAAGCACTCTAATTGTAACATGCCTCAGTTAACTCCCAGGAGTGAGTTTTGTAAAGCATACCTTCTCAGGTCTCCCAGGTAGGGTTAAATATTTATGGATTGTAGCATTCCTGGTGAAAAGGGTTGCTTAAACGCAAGGAATGTTTTTAAAGAACTCTGATACCAATTGAATGTTCCCCATTAATAAAATGTTCTCCCTTGAAACAAATGATTCTAAGGAATTCAAAAAATAGGCCCAAGAAGCTTCTGGATGGAAGTGTGGCCCAAAAATACAGTTGTAGCAATCTTTCTGATAAAGTATCATAAAACATTAGATGGGTGTCTACTTTATGGCAATATAAAACGAACCCCTAATCAATCCCTAATACTGTCTTTTGTACCATCATGAGGTAGAAATGAATAGGGCAGAAACTAGTGATCCTATTTACCTAGAAAAGAAACTGGGGCACAGAAACCTTTAGCGGTTTTTGCGTGTCTCAAGCTCCTTTTGGCTTGGTTCCGACTGCCCCTCCATTCCTTGAAACTTCAAGTCTAAATATCAATAATAACAGAATTTCAGTGCTGGAATATCATTTATTCTGACCCTCTCCTTTGACCAAAGAAGAAACTGAAGCCCTTACAGATTGAGTTACTCATTAATATTCAAAGAGGTTCACTTAACATCCTGGTTTCTTAACTCTCACAAAATTATATACAAGATAAATGGAACCTTTCAGTGGGCCCTAACACATCTTCATCGGAACACACCTTGACTTTTACTTTAATTATATTAAAATAACATTCCCACTGATTATCTACAGACTCCCTCAGTGTCCCCGCTCCACACTCTCCTTTCTCCCAGTTCTACTCAGGCCTCTGGTTTCTGGGTCAAGGTTGGCTCTGTCCGGCCCCCGGACGCGGCCGGCCTCGGGATGGAGGACAGAGCTTCGAAGCCCCCCTAACAGAAAGGGACAGAGCGATCTGAGTCTCAGTCAGTCGAGGTGTTCCGCAAACAGCCCCCGAGTCCATTTCGTGAGGGCTCCCATCCCGTGGTCCCGCAGCCGCTGTGTCTGCCTGCACCTCTCCATTTCGCTCCTTCCCAGCTTCCCTGGGGACTCCCGCCAAGGGCTCCCCTCGGCCAGGGGCGACGGTACCCACAAGGCCACCGGGGCGCGCGGGGGAACCTGGCCTTGCTGCCCGCGTAGGTCCCGGGGAGTAAGAGCATTCCCCGAACAACGGAGGCACGCCCCACGCAGCGACGGGCGAGGACAACTGTGACCAGAAGCCCTGTGGGTGGAAGGGAGCGACTCCCGCGGCCGCCTCCCCTCGGGCACCCGCGGCGCCGCCGGAGCCTCGCTCTTCCTCCTCCTCCTCGCTCGCCGGCCCGGCTGATCTCCTGCCATGACTCAGCGATTCTCGCAGGCTGCCCGGCTGGGGACACCGGCTTCTCGCGGGCTCCTCCCGCCGCGTCCACCCCCTCTCGCCACCCACGCCCGCCCCCGACCGCCGGCTCTTTCCCAGCGCGCCCGCCGCCGCCGCCGCAGTCAGCGCGGGCGCCCCAGCAGCATCCGCCGCCGCCTGCACCGCGCGCCGCACGCCCCGGGCCGACCCCGCACCCCACCCGTGCACCCGCCATGGAGCCCGCAGCACCCCGCCGCCGCCACACCTACCAGCGCGGCTACGCCGTGACGCGGAACCCCCACCTCAACAAGGTGAGCCCGCCGCCCACCTGGCGGCCCAGCGGCCGCTTTCGCTCAGACGCAGGCCCTCGGAGGGTCCCGGCCTCGGCCTCGCCCCTCTGCCGGCTCTCCCGGCACCCGCGGCCCTCTGTGCGCGCAGAATGGAGGGGCCGCCCAGTAGGCGCCGCGCTCCTCAGTGTGTTGGGAGCCCGGTGCTCGTGCACCTCGGCATCCCGTTTGGGGAAAGAAGATGTAACTTGTTTACAGTACTTTTTGGCTTCTCAGGAGCCAAGCCGGAGAAAGTAGTATCAGGCTGAGTGCGTGAACTGCTGTTTCGGTGAAGATAGCAGGTGGGCTGCCAGCTCAGCCTGAACGTGCCATCCACTTACCGGTTCCCCTCAGCCTGGCAAATGCTGGAGGCTGCTCTGGAGAGAAGTGGCCCTACTGGTGCATCCCGGCAGAAATGCGTTCTGAAAGGCTCCGATCACATTAACAAGCTCGATATCAGGGCCTCTTAGTTTCTGGAGAGACACGATGAAGACGCTGGGAATGCGTGGTGGGTGGCTTCTGCCTTGGACACTTTGCGTGGCCTGGTGCAGAATCCTTCCCTAGACATGGGGCTGTGGGCAAAGCCATTCCTGTTTTTTGAATCTGGCCTTCTGGAAATTAAAACGTTGTTGTTGTTGTTGTTGTTGTTGTTTTAAAGACCTCTTACTAAAACAAGATTTCATTGGAGTTTAGAGAACCTTTTTCAGATCCTGGTGACATTTCATTTTTCCTCACTGCTTAGGTAATGTAAACACCCAATATTTCTCTCAAATGAAAAATACCTAATTTATAATTTTGCTTAGGTAGATACTAAGCCGTCACACTTATGTTATAGCCAGGTTTGTCTCTAGATTGTTCTTTTTGTGTACCTGTGCTCTTGACCTATTCTTCTTTAGGATATGGGGAATGGCATCAGTCAGCACAGATCTCTTTAGTCATTTTGGTCATCTCTTTAGTAGATGCTCTTTCTCATTAGAAACTGGACCTCAGCTCTTACCTTCTGGTCACATTGCTGGTGATTTGTTGATCATTATTAATGGCTTGAAGACTTGTGATTCCTTTTAATTGTAGCTAGTGTGAGTTCTTTTTGATTTCGTGGTAACAGGTAACTTTTACAAATACGGGGTTATTCAGTATTTGTGGTCATAAAACGTGAAATTTTGAGTAGTTTCTACTTATTTTTTTCTTCAAAAAAATTTAATTGCTAGCTTGATTTTTCTTTTTATTATTCTGCAGGTTGGGGTCTATTTTCAGTAGAAAAAAGGTAAAATCTGATGTGACAGAACAGTGTGTGACTTTCATGTGTATCTGCTTCCTGTAATTTATGACCAAATAATGGGTTGTCGCCTAAGAAGGACTGCATGAGTGGTATAACCTGTTTGAATTTCCCAAAGTCATGGGCAAGTATCAGTGTTTCGAGTGGGTAGATGGAATAGGCAATCACTGAGCAAGAGTCATTATGCCTTTACTGTTTGCATCAGGAATGTATGTTCTTGAAATCTTTTTGGCTCCTGTTCACCAATAAGAATTAACTCCTACTTAACAATAATATCACAGAGATCTTCCACCAAGTTGAAGGGTGCAGCATAATATGTTAAGAACACATTTTTGAATTTATAACAGAACTTTATTGTCTGCATAGGTGTCAAATTGGATTTACAAATCTAGTTTACCAACTCTGGGATGATGAAAGAAATAAGCTTTTCTTTTCTTATTCAGTTCTAAGGTAGCTGTGTGGCGCCTCATGGAAGTAAGGAATTGCCTTTCATGTACCATTGAAACTGTGGCTGTGGGATGTTCTTGATCTGCCATGCACTGAAGATCTCTTGGCTTTAAAGTTTACTGATAACCCAGGAATTTTTGTTGATTTTTATGAGGACTTTGGCAAGTAGATCATGCTCTCTAGAACTCCAGCCTGTCATCTGGCTACACGAAGCCGCCTTCAGCCATATTAACACAGACCTTCGTCACCTTACCTGTTGGGTAACTGCAACAGTTTTGCTGGTTTTATTTTCAGTGTTATGGTCTGTCCTACATGTAGATATGAGAAACATACCTTCATCAGTTAGTGTTTTCCTCACGTTACTCTTCTGTCATCCAAGGAGTTATAATAGTGTCTATTACACTGAATGTAAAATCAGTCTTGTCAGGTTTACTATCTTACCCAAATTGAACTCATTAGTCCCCCAATTAATCTTCCACTTGAAATATATTTGCTAAATCTCTAAATGCTTTCCTTTTTGCCTGTGTGTAATTTCCTACAATTAAAATGGCATTAGTTGATTTAATAATGATCTCTCTAGGGAGGACTTTCCTAATTATCTCAGTTCTATTATCTTACTTGACACCTCTGTTTATATGTATCCAGTTGTATCATGTCATTTTGTGTTTACTATATTTTGTTTATTTTTTTCTTACTTTGATTGTCATAGGTCAGGAATCATACTTAGTACAGAATTTTACTCATTGGGCTTTGAATAAGTGTTTAATGAATGAATGAATGAACCATTTTTATTTCTTTTGTCTTTTAAACAGTACTCAGCTTTTAAAGCGAAAAGCTTAAAAAAATATAAAGCAAAAAGCTTTTAGAGTGGTAGTTTGAACATTATTTTAAGACATCCTGTTTAATGTAATTTCTTGGAAGTAAATTGCATTGAATTCTAAAGCTCAGTTGACTCTCTATACATTATACAGTGTCTAATGGGTACAGAAGAATAATTGGAATGTGGTTTATACCTGATCATCCATGAAATTTTAATTACTTGCTACATAACCTTAAGGAGGTGATTAGTCGTGGTAAAATCAAGGTTAATAGTAGGTGTGATCCAAATTAAAAAAAATAAAAAATTATAAAAACTGAAGAGAAATAAGGTTCTTTATTGGTAATATGATTCTTACTATTTGCTTATACTCAAATTACATAATTTCTGTAGGATTGCATCATAGTATTTGGGAAAGTACCTCACACTTATGAGATTCAGTATCTTTCTGTACATAGCCCTAACTATCTTTGAGGTGCTTTTCTTTGTGTTAAATGTGCTTATCTAATTTAATGTTTAATGTTAATGATTTTTAAGGATACCTTCTGATTTAGATGAGTTGTATTTCACATTTTTTCTCAGGAATTTTCATGTGACTAATAATGTTTCATAAATCATTCTTCAAAATTAAAATTTTACACATGATAAAAATCACTTATTTTTTATTTCTAAATGTATTCATTTGCTTTGTTTCTCTAGCATTGGTAGAAAATTCTAATTGATAGTTCTATCATGATTGTGCTTATGTGGTTTTCATGTCTTTAAGATTAAATAATAACATGACCTACAAATAAATATTCAAAAGATATCACTCTGTTATGTTTTAGGCATTTTAATCCAGTTTAAGTTAGTGACTTATTAAAGTTTGTTTGGCCAGCATTATTAACTTTTAAATCTAAAAAATGAGCTCTGGGCAAGTGCATTTGTAGATGTTTGTTTCTCGGCATGTCAAGACCTAGTTGGAGGTGTTGTAGGGAAAAGAGAGAAATGTCTTGTGACTATGAGGAAAAGATATCTTAAACCTCCTCTTTTTCTTCAGTGTAAACTATACCAGAGTTAATCATCCAGGAATTTTTACCTACCACAATTCTCTGGATTGCCTCAGCGTATGAAAGACTGATGTATTATTTAATGGAACCCCACTGATATGAATGCTATTCTGATTTGGATGTACCTATATGCCTCCATACCTGTTACTTTGCTGTACCTCAAACAACAGCGGTAGGATAGGGTAGCATAAAATCAAAATACTGTGCTTGAATGAGTAGAAAGATGAGTTTCATTTGAGGACTTTTGAGACTGGTGATATGGAGTTTAGGAAATACTGAAGATAGTCTAAGATTTTTCATTTTTGTGTTCTAATTTCCTTCTATCTTTTGGGCAAGTATGAGAAATGCAATGTAGTGGAATGAACATTCTAAGACATTGTATCTAGAGGAAAGCATAAGTCCCAATTCTTCCATTTAGCAGTTGTGAGATTTTGAGTGAACTTTTCTCAACTGGCTTCAGTTACTGTCCTTACAAAATAAAGTGATAACTTCGTTCATTACTTTATATTTTTTTATTTAGAAAATATTTGTTGAGAACCCACTATACTAGGTAATATTCTGGTTCAAAGAATATAGCAATGAAGAAGATTCTTGTTAGTGCACTTACATTTCTGTTGTAATATGGTTTCTGCCTTGCTTCTTCACTCAGATATTCAAAAGATTATTTGAGATAGTGAATATTAATTGTTTCTAAATTATATATTCTAAAAACAGGAAGTCTTTTAGTCCTATCATTATTAACACATTACTTTTGTATAGAAAGTCTGAGCTCATAGCTGGAGCAATTATAAAGTACTTATTTTTGTAGTGTATTAACCCCCTTCTCTTGAATTTTGGATGATAGGATTGTGTTCTTTATTTTATAGTACAAAACAAAAATATATCTTCTCTCTGGGAAAGGAAGATTTATATTTTACCCTCAGATTCATATAACTGAGCTTGACTGACATCACATGACCTTTGCAGTCTTTCATACACTTTCACAGAATGCCAGGTATAAAGCATGTATTTGTGAAGAAATAGAAAAGGAAAAGTTTTTTGCTTTTCAGCACTCTGTTCAAAGTATGTAAAGGCTTGGAAGTACGAAAGAACTTGGCTTGTTAGAGAAAGGTAGAGGTATGCTTTTCTAGTTAAAATTATTGGGAGAAGAGGGAGTGAATTGCAGAGACAGGAAATTTAAAAGTTCCAGTGGTGTGAAACCAGCCTTTACTTGATTCTGTTTGACTTTGGAAAAAATCGTTACTTTGACAAAACAAATATTTGGACTGTTTTCCAATGGTTTTCAAATTGACATGACCAAATAATGTGAGAGATTCAAGGATTGCCCTGATTTGCCCATTCGTTACTTCCTTATTTTATGTTATTGAACCAACTCAACCAACTTTGATAGTATATA